GCTAGTTTAGTTTAGTTTAAACATATTTTATTCACAGAACAAAATGAGAATTGTATTGGGGACAAGTTCTTGCAACTAAGTAAACCCCTCCCCGCATAAAATATGTACAAATATACAGTTACAAAATAAATAAATTTGCTTCAGTCAGTAAAAATCAGACTTTCCACATTTACACATCAATATATTTGTGTAAGCTTGTTACGTTATAATTATTCCATTGTGTATATTACTACCTACTTTATCAATTGAAATATGATTCCATTAGGTTAAATATGAACAATTATGATGAAAATCGTCAATAGGATATATTACAATTAAGTACAAAACACACAGAGTATTTCTCAAATAAATATGAAAACTAAGTTCATTCTAGTAATTAATCCTCTTCTGGACAAACAAAGAAATGAAATTCCAAAGCGTTTATATATATATATATATATACAACAATGAACGATAACGACCTCGATCTTCCCCCACACCCATGCTGTAATGATGATTGTACGATAAACCCTGACCAACCCTGACAAGGATAGGTTCTAGTCATTTAACGCCTTTGACACTAAACTTATAAGGTTATCACAATTTACGTAAAACGTTATTACATTTTACCGCAAGTTGATATTATTACAATTCACGTCAAATTTTATTACAATTTACGTTGTTATTACAATTTACGTCAAAATTATTTTAATTTGCTGCAAGTATTACAATTTACCTTTTTATTACAATTTACGTCGTAACATGGCCCCAAAGTCAACGACGCTCATGTCACATTTCACGTACACTGCCAATTTGAATTCCGTTCAACCATGCGGTCTACATTTTGTATGCTGATAGTGAAACTATTATTCAAATAATTTACGCATACATGGACAACAGTTTTGGCTACGGCCCAAGAACAACAGACTCATGTATCACATCGTTTCACGTTTAACTTTAAATTCATTGGTTTTATCAGTTATCAGTGCTTTTACAGTAATCTACGGTTATAACGAATTCAAGGGGGACAACTAGTTTTATAACCGTAGTTCGTTATAAGCAGATATACAGCATATATATAAGAAATGGCCGGAACTAAAAACAAGTTCGTGATATCGGTCAGTTCGTTATAAGCGTGTTTGTTATAACCGTAGTTTACTGTATTTGCGAATAAAACGAAAACAAAATAGTATAAAAGCAAAGCAATCATTGATCACAATGTCTTTAATTTAACCCATTTCCACTATTTCAGTGGTTTTATCAGTATTCAGATTTTTCTGTTTGCGAATGAAACGAAACTCTACGAAATAGTATAAAAGTAATCCTACAGATAAAAATGATATAGTTATTATTACCTTTGAGAATACACACAATGAGCTACTGTAGCCAAGTGATGCTGTGAAGGCGATAGATCTAAAACCCTCTGACACAGCAAAAACGGAGTTTAAATAGCCTGGGAAAAGTTCCCCCAGCATGGCATTTATCTGTGTTTTCCATACCCCATCGCCTATTCCCCATAAAGCGAGTAAAACATATATATTGACTGTGTCATTTTCTGTAGGAACCCAATAGCAAATCCAGATTAATATGGCCATGTGTTCAGCGCCCGCCGCACCACATAGTATATATCGTTTAGTGTACTTAGTGATCCTGCTGAAAACGAAGCTTGATAGTGATGTACTCATCCCATATGCCATCATTACGTAACCCACGTTTTGTATTCCGATTGGACAGCTGATGTAGGATTTAGTTACTTCTACAAAGCAAACCTCCTCGGCAATAGACAGGTAGCAGGTGAATGGGATTAAATATTTCATGTCAGTTTTCTGTAATACTTTGAACCAGGACAAGAATGATTGTTTCATCGATGTCTCCCCTGTTTTGACCTGGGACTTGATCGGTGAGAGAAATACAATGACTGTGCTAATTCCTATAACAACACAAACAAGGAATATGCCAAACAGTGTGTACACAATATATAGTTCAGGGTCGGCGATTAACTCCACTGTCTCTGTATCTGGACAATCGTTGACTCCACAGTAGGCTGACACATTTGCCACTGTAACGTTGTACTCGCCCTGATAGAGAACGAACGATGACACGAGGTTTCCGATAATGCTTGACAGGTCAAACATGGCCCAGAAAATACCATTAAACCTGCTGAGCGAGGTATACATTTGAGTACCAGTCCGCTGCGAATACGAAACTGCACACACTGTCATGTAGATCCCTTGACACGACCACAAGGGACCCGTTACGAGTCCAATGAGTATGGAGGAAGGAATGAGGGTAGCGAAGGAGGGGTAGAAGTTGGACGCTGTGTAGATTAAATGTGCGAAAAAAGAGTATATAATCACTCTCTTTACACCAAGTTGCGTCACTATCAGTGGGGCTAGAATGCCTGACAGTATGGAAGCCCCATATAAAACGCCGAGGGATATGACTCCTAAACTTCCTTCATCGTTCAGGCTTCCTTGTATATTCTGTATAGCCATGTAGGATGTAAACACGGACAGAAACGAGATCGATAAAAATATTGCATTCTTTGTCTCTTTTCCCGCGACGGAGGATTGTGTGGCCTCAACTTTCACAGAGTCGCTTTCAGATAAAAAGTTGTCGCCTTCATTCACAATTTCTGTTAATTGTGAAACGTTATCCCCCCCTTCTCCACGTGCAATAAGTGATCCATTGTCCTTGCCGTCGGTATGTTCACCTGTATCACATCTGTGAGAATTTGAAATATCACCCTCACCTGCAAATACGACATGGGGGTGTTCAGCTCCATGTTGTACCATGTTGTTAGTTGTGCATGCGACATTCAACGACTGAACACAGCAGCCCCTGTGAGTGGTTGAGCACGGCGATAGTGCGATAATTCACTGCAAGTGACCTACATAGGGTAAGATGTGGCAATGGAGGATCGAGATCCTTGTTAGACCAAAGGCGCGCACCAGGTCAATCTGTCCTTCGTGGTGCTATGTTCGATACAGCGGTATCTGTGACATGAGTAAATGGTCGTCACCCACATAGGATAAGAAAAACGATAACACACCGCATACTACGCTTACGAGGCACATCGCGGCGCGTTGCCGTAACAACACAAATTGCGGTCACACTGAAGCCACATAGATAATCCGCAAGTTACACAATGTATATGTATGTAACAAAGACGAGGCGCCTCACCTCGCAATTTTACAACACATAGCGTCGTTCTCACTGAGGTGTAGAGAAATGAGACACGAGAAATAATATGTCCGTGTCTCACAGTACTGCGATGCGTATGTTCACTATACACAAGCTCACTTGGGTCACAAAGATAGCCTGAATGTTACACGAGTCACTGGTCGGAGATACAGTGGTGGTCTATTTCCGTGTGGAGAAGGCCGTTTGGATACATGCACTCTACAATTGTGATGTAAAGAGTGGGTCTACACATATATTCCGTACCTGTACCGGTCTATTTTGGGAACAAATGGAGAAGGAAAAGTGGACATTTTGTTTTCCAATTGAGTTAGCCTCCCGCTGCTGTGATGAAGTCTACAGCTGGTGGTTTCATGGAGATGAAAATTAAAAATTAAAAATCTACATGTCAAACACATTGATATTTAATACATCGTCGGATCTTAGGTTTTAATTCGGACATCACACTTTTTCGAACAACCATGTTTATCCCGATTACTCGCGTTATGACGTAGGATGTAGCATCACCCAGACATTGTAAATGCTCATATGATGGCATATTTTTAAGAGAAAGTTGTCTTTTATAAAAGTAAATGAGATGTTTTAAAGTTGTTCATGTGATAAGAGAAAACTACGCGTGTTTCTTTAGCGTCCAAAAACCAATTACACGGGTATATATTTTAATGTACATAATTATACAAATGCAGACACTGTATACAGCTGGCAACACCTGAGTAAGCACAATAATGTTAATGGGAAAAGTATGGAATATTACAAGGGACATGATCGCGTTCTCGCATAGCCTTTAGCATGTGGGCATTATCAATTAGTGCTTTGTCCTGCATTACTGGTCATCGGGTGGAAGAATATAATACGTCCTTTCATCAGATTTATTGTGGTCAGAAACACGTGCCTTGTTTTCTTTGGTGTCCAGACCCTAAACAAATCCAAAGAAGGTGAACAAACAATGACCGTCATGAGTGATCGTATTGCCAATTGTGGGGCGGTGGATAGCTCAGTGGCTAAAACATTCGCTCGTCACGTCGAAATCTTGGGCATACAGGTACAATGTGTGATTTCCCTTCCTGGTGTCCCACGGATATTGCTGGAATGTTGCTGAAAACGGCGTAAAACCATACTCGCACACTCATCAGTCACTTCCAGTGGTGAACAAGTGACTCAGCATCTTTCAGCATCCTAGTTGTGTAATGATGTTTCATGATGTTTTTGTTCAGATTACATTATACCATTTTGTATTATGACGAACTAATCATCGTCAACTAATATGCCCCCGATCAGCCTGTGTATCTTATCATCACCATACATTTTCTTGTTGTATGGGTAGGGATTTTATAACTGCCTTTCTATCATGATATTGGGGATAACACAGGGAGCAGGACGCTAACTGTAGACGTGCTCGGTCCCGGATTGGTCCCTTTGATGATACTCTCAACAGGCTCTGCCTGCACTGACAACGCCCATGGGTTTCATCAAACTGACGTCCTGCTTCTCTTAAGGCTTTCATACCACATGGAGGCAACTCACTGTAATATACATATGTGAGTAAAACCAGACTAACTCACTCATCGCGGTCTTTTTACTTTCACTCATCTTCTGACTGATTAAAGTAGAAAACAGGTTGCATGTGCATTAATCTTGACGAGTATTACTATTAACGTATCGTTTTTCGATTAGAGATTCATTTGTAATGCCCACTGATTACAACATATGTCATGGCAGTATATGTAATGTACTGTTGCATTTTAATTCTCAAGGGGAAACGCGAAGGTCAAAACAGAAATTTTATTGAAACATACATGATTAAATGTACAATCGTACAAGGTAATACAAAAGGTCGAAGTACGCGACGGAATAAAAAAAAGATAATATGAGTCTATTAATTAATTTGTCTGTATGATTAACATCAAGAAAGATGTGTCATAAATTGGGAAAATGCTAGTTTTGGATTTGAGTCTAATGAGTAATGATCATTGGATTCTGGCATGCTCAAGTGATGTAACTCTCCTTAAACAGCTAGGCCGCCATGCCAAACCTATACACAGACATTGTTCTCACGCTAGATGTAGACAAAATATTTTGTAAACTATATTTGTACCAGTATAAAGGTAGATTAGAATACACAAAATGAACACTTTCTATAAACACATCAAACATCTTCTGTGAAGTATTGCTTAATACCATTTCTATGTTGTTAATGAAAACAACCAATTGCATATATTAATAACATGTTGATTGATTAATCCGTTTTAATTGTCACGCAGACTGTAGCGTTTGTTTCAGTTAATTGGACTTTTCGAGTTTAGCAACTTCTTCCTTTTCGTCTTCAGACATCCGTTTGTTGGATTTCCTCAGATATCTGACTTCAACCAAAGCATAAAGTGCCATCCCCAAAACTAGGAAGGTCATTGCGATTATAATTTTGACAGAAACACACAGCATACTACTGTACACAAAGGTACATGTAAATGCTATAGATTTGACACCTTCATATACTGCAAATGCTGACTGCTTATTGTCATGAAATATTTCCCCTATTACGGAGTTCGTCTGGGTTTTCCATATTCCTTCCGCAACTCCCCATGCTGAGGATATAACGTAGACGAGGTGAATGTCATGGTAAGACGGAACCAAGTGATACATCCACAACATCAGCGCCATCTGAAGAACCCCAGCAAGGCCCAGTAGAACATATCGTCTTGCAAATCTAGCTAATTTGCTGAATACGAAACTGCTTGTTGCAGAACTAACTCCGTACACTGTCATCACGTAGCCGACGTTTTGTATTCCGAAAGGACAGCTCACGTATGATTTGGTTAGTTCAGTAAATGCCACAACCTGCTCTATAGCTAAATATAACATAAATGGAAGCAGAAACTTGATATCAGTCTTGATGATGAGTCTGAACCAGGACCACAGTGACTGTTTGATTGTGTTCTTGTTGGTTGAGGACTGATTGTGTACTGGTGAAAGGAAAATAATCACAACCCCTAGCCCCGTGACGACACATCCTAGAAACACACCCAGAAGCATGTAAACCACAGTGGGTTCGGGATCAGCGATGATGTCCACTGTTTCTGCTTCAGGACAATCATGAGCTCCACAAAAGGAAGTAGTGTTCAAGTTGGTGCTGTTATACTGGCCTTGATACAGTACAAGGGACGATAGTAGGTTACCCACGATATTACTAAGTTCAAACATTCCGAAGAAAATCCCGTTAATTCTGCTGAGAGAGGTTTGTAGCTCCACACCGGTACGTTCACTGAAGGAAAAAGCACAGGATGTGAGGTAAATCCCTAGTGACGTCCATAACGGTCCCGTAACTGCTCCCAGAATGATTGATGATGGAATAAGTGTTGCAAATGAAGGGTAAAAATTGGACGCAACGTAAATTAAATGTCCAGAAAAGGCAATTACCACTGATCGCTTGACCCCAACAACAGTGATCCACGTGGGAGCATAGATGGCCGACAAAATGGCTGCTGCGTAGAGACAACTAAGGGAGAGAACTCCCAAACCACCTTCGTCGTTCAGGCTTCCTTGCAGATTCTGTAACGACATGTATGACGAGAATACAAACAGGAATCCTAGTCCAAGGACTATTGTATTCTTTGTTTCCTTCCCAAACAGTGGCGATGGGGTCTCTTCAGTTTCTACGTCAGACATGTTTGTTTCAATTATCTACCAAGTAAGAGCTTATTCAAACTTACTTGTTTCATAGGGGTTAGCAGACTGTGTGTCTACACTGGTTGTGACATGTGGCTGGCCATGAGTTGATAAGGCACTTTGCACACTGTGTTTTATCTATTTGACGTGACCGAATTGACAATCTGAAACCTGCTTATCGTTGTGAGCAGGTAAGCTGTATAACGGAGTGTCTAGGGTATCATACAAATGGTCACGTGTAGTCAATCACATGTTCTCATGATCAGTTTATGTTACGAGTACATAGAGTAGGTGCACGGGTGGCCCAGTCGTCTAAGGCGGCGCCATTCGCTGTGCAGAGATGCGTCCCTTGGGCACGCCAGAAACCTATGATTGTGGGTTCGAATTCCGGTTCGCCCCGCCTTTTATGTTTCTAGGTTTGTCAGCACCATACCCGTGCTCGTGGGTTTCACCGAAGTGCTAAACGTCTGAGACCTGCATCACTTTCCTCCCACATTAAGCTGACACGCCGTGATATAACAGGAATATTGTTATAAGCTGTGTTAAATCCAAATCACTCACTCACTCACTCACAGTACTAGTTACATAGAGTATTGCGCGTATTTTCAACCTAACGTAACCAGTGAGTGCTATACTGATTGACTCACTCAATCGTACAATCTCCAACTGGTTCATGATAACTGGTCTAGATCGACTAATTAGATACCTAAGGCAGAATAAAGCACCATTGTTAAGATTCTTAATTATTCGTTTTAAAGAAAATAGTTAGTTCAAGGAAATATTCAAAACATTTGCCTCGGGTTTATCACTCCCAAAAGTGGTAGCTGGATGCGCTCAGTTAAGGTGGACAAGGGATACTCACAGCATTAACGAGGGATACTAGTATTTAATTACAAGTGGTCATGGGGAACATAACCCTGGGCTTGTTCGTAACATTATCCCAGTGGACCATTTGACAAAGAAATACTACGACAGAAACGGTGTGCTTTAAATGCATGTAAACACGAACATTTTAAGTGCTTACTTTTATGAGAACTAAAGAATATTCCTTGATAGCATTTATGTGATCTGTTTGCTTGCGCCATAACGTTCATAAGTTATTCAGGCCACCATTTTTAGTTAATCACCATAACAGTATGTTCAGTGAAAAATGCAATAAAGTTTGCCTGTTCATTTTGCAATATTGTGAATAGTTACAGCACAGCAATAGGGTGTGGTTACTTTGTAAGTGATTATGTAGTAAGCATGTGTCTAGTCATATTTTGTTTTAACATAGTTGTGTAACTGCGAGAAAGGGTAAATGTCATCTACAATAATTATATTTACTCAGAAACCTCTCAGTGTTGTTTATAAATATAACTAGCGAACTAACAATTTGTAACGAAATGCTTAATTTGTCATTTTTACCATAGAATGTGTCATCAATTGAAATATCTTGATTAAAGTAAGCATCAGTTCTGTAAATTCGAAATAGTGTACATTCGCGTATAAAATGTTTAACGTATTCAAAAGAATCTGGAAAAAAAGAAAGATCGGGATAGATGTGACTTCGTATCACCGTACCCTATTTTGTAATTGCATGTTCTGTTAAGACAGTTAAAATATGACAACTATATGCTGCTGATGATAATGGGTTATGGACGACATGAGTATACATCAACAAAAGTTAAGTAAATTGTATCAAGGCAATATCCTAAACGTCCATTCATCTTCAGTTTTTCTATGTTCAATTGTTTGAACTCCAACGGAAATGTTCAATTCGTGAATATAAATGAGAATGCATCAAAGCATAGATCCTTAATTTTGATACATACATGTAACTGTACACCTTCCGTATGTTACAACAGAAAATGACTTCCAACACTAAAGAATGTAGCAACTTGACTACCTTTGTGGTACAAAATACACTGAACATAGTTTATCCTAGTGGTTTATTCTCGATAAGCCCCCAGCCGGAAGAGGATGAAGCGTAATCCTGTTCTTACAAGCAGAGGGGGCACGTCAAACAAACATCGCCACACCAGGGACTGTCAATCAAAGCAGGTATGAGCTAAACATGTTTATTGTGAGTGTTATACTGAACATCGTAGTTTAAAGTTCAAACGATTTTGTATTTCTATGACAGATAACCTGGATTGGTTAACAGGCAAAATACATATTTGATGACCTCTCCAATACACATATCGGTGATATCATTATCAGAATAACTGTAAACAAGTATATACATGTGTTAAATAGTATTATTTAGCTCTCCTAAGGTAGTAAAACATAAATTTGACAGAACGTTATCGATTAAGTATTAAACATTTAATCCTTATAAGCTACTGCAGCGATTTGTTTGGGTTAAATCATTACGGACAGATTCAATAACCTTTAAATTAATGTATCTGGTAGTACATTGAAAGAGGATTATCGTTGCCGATATCCTGTAAATCACACAAAGTGCTTATTCTGTTCTTAAGTAGGCTACATTGCCATCAATATCAATCAAAACGGGATACTTTCAAGTTTAATAAATAACGTTCACACTGTTCACACTTTTTGTTCCATTACACAATTAGATGAACATTTATGTTACACAATCACTTCTGTGCATGTTTGTTAGTTGAAGCATAAGTGAGGTGTTTTAGATATAAGTGAAACATTTGACATCTCATGAGCTTTATTCGTATTTTCACCGAAATGAAGGATACAATAATTAATGAAGTACAGACTCATAAACATTTAGACATGATATTGCAAAATGATGCAACCGTGAGTAATTGTGGTGAGTGAGTGGTGGATATGTTAGGTGTAAACAGTAAACCAAAAGATTAATCTGAAGGTCTTATGGTGATGTCGTATAGAATCCAACAATTTCAAACCATGTTGCAAACATGAGGGCACACAATGTCATGGAAATGTACTATTCCTTGTACCGAGAGAGCTTTATTTAGGTGTGAGATATAATCAATTACATGAAAACGCATATTACAGTATAAGAGGCACTAGTGTTGTGGTTTGCTTAACACAACTTTGAATAGTAAGCAACCTAGGTCTTAGACGTTAACCTGTTCAGATAAACATAATCAGGGCGAATCTGCGAATGGAGCCCACGATCATTGGTTTCTGTCACTCAAAAGTTACGCAAATCTGGGCAGTGTAAATATACAGATTCGTGATTATGTCTATTTTATGCAACGTGTATGAGTGGTAAGTGCTATGAAACCTAATACGATACCTCCGGGGATTTTGCAAATGAATGCACTTTTAGACCAGAGAAGTTGACCATGGAATGACCATGGAATGTGTCAATGAAGTCTACGTTTAAGGAGACTGAATTATTATCCAAATGTGAAATAATATCACCACACCGACTCTAACAACCTTGCATGAACAATGTACATGTCGTTAATTCCGTCATTCTGGAATACCTGTACCATAAAATTCGAAAAAGAACAACTTGATGCACGAGACAGCTTGCTCGTACTGCTGTGCGAGGCATAAGCCATGGCAAATAATGTAACGTATTGGGTTATTGAAGCGATACTCCCACAGAAGTTACAGTAATCATGTTTTTAACTTCAAGTATCAATAGTTTCGATTTTAGCAGCTTCTTTCTGTTCGCTTTCAGACCTCCTTTTGTGGCATTTCCTTAGATATCTGACTTCAACCATAGCATAAAGTGCCATCCCCAGTACCAGGATAACCAATGCAACTATAAGTTTAATATAGACACACAACATACTACTGTACACAAGCGTACAAGTGAATGCTGTATATTTGACACCTTCATATACTGCAAATGCTGACTGCTTATTGTCATGAAATATTTCCCCTATAAGGGAGTTCGTCTGGGTTTTCCATATTCCTTCCGCAACTCCCCATACTGTAGATATGACATAGACGAGGTGAATGTCATGGTAAGACGGAACCAAGTGATACATCCACAACATCAACGCCATCTGAAGAACCCCAGCAAGGCCCAGTAGAACATATCGTCTTGCAAATCTAGCTAATTTGCTGAATACGAAACTGCTTGTTGCAGAACTAACTCCGTATACTGTCATCACGTAGCCGACGTTTTGTATTCCGAAAGGACAGCTCACGTATGATTTGGTTAGTTCAGTAAATGCCACAACCTGCTCTATAGCTAAATATAACATAAATGGAAGCAGAAACTTGATATCAGTCTTGATGATGAGTCTGAACCAGGACCACAGTGACTGTTTGATTGTGTTCTTGTTGGTTGAGGACTGATTGTGTACTGGTGAAAGGAAAATAATCACAACCCCTAGCCCCGTGACGACACATCCTAGAAACACACCCAGAAGCATGTAAACCACAGTGGGTTCGGGATCAGCGATGATGTCCACTGTTTCTGCTTCAGGACAATCATGAGCTCCACAAAAGGAAGTAGTGTTCAAGTTGGTGCTGTTATACTGGCCTTGATACAGTACAAGGGACGATAGTAGGTTACCCACGATATTACTAAGTTCAAACATTCCGAAGAAAATCCCGTTAATTCTGCTGAGAGAGGTTTGTAGCTCCACACCGGTACGTTCACTGAAGGAAAAAGCACAGGATGTGAGGTAAATCCCTAGTGACGTCCATAACGGTCCCGTAACTGCTCCCAGAATGATTGATGATGGAATAAGTGTTGCAAATGAAGGGTAAAAATTGGACGCAACGTAAATTAAATGTCCAGAAAAGGCAATTACCACTGATCGCTTGACCCCAACAACAGTGATCCACGTGGGAGCATAGATGGCCGACAAAATGGCTGCTGCGTAGAGTCAACTAAGGGAGAGAACTCCCAAACCACCTTCGTCGTTCAGGCTTCCTTGCAGATTCTGTAACGACATGTATGACGAGAATACAAACAGGAATCCTAGTCCAAGGACTATTGTATTCTTTGTTTCCTTCCCAAACAGTGACGTCGGGGGATCTTCAGTTTCAAACAAGATTCTTTCAGTTTTCATTTGATTTTCTGAAAAAAGAATCATTATGCTATGAATTGTAAAATGTTGAGTTCCGATTTGTCAATAAGAGGTATGAAATAACAATAACTACCTCTGCCGATTTGACGGCCACATCATCGCGGAAGTTATTATTTATAGAAAATTATTTATTTAATGTCGGTAGGCATTTTTTCTAATGATGGTGGTGATGATATGTAGAGGGCGTCATGGAAAATGATAAATTCAAAATCCCTTTGAATAGGCCCGTGTACAGGATTGTGAGAATAAGCGGGAAATACCCATCTGTGGGAGTCATCATTATTAAAATACGGGTTATAATCTTTTAAGCTTGTACATTTTATCAACATCCTTAATTATAAAGAGTTTATGAGCCCCTCATGGTTTGTTCTCCCTGCAGTGTTTTATTGTACAATAAACAACCCCCACTCGTCGTTTATTTCTTAAATAGATTCTACATAGGTACTCTCCCGCTGAAGCGTAAATCGAAACTAAATCTTCTAAAGTACGAATAGAAGAGTTTATTATCTACTTTTTGTTTATCTACTCTTTTCAGGGTATCAGTTACTTATACTATCAGCTACAGTCTGATATACATTGCTGACTAAACTACGCTCACTTTTCAGACCCATGCATGAGATGAGAGTGTTTAAGATGTTGTAAATCCTATTCTAACACACCTTGGACCCCACTCCCAGACGATTTACACCTGATACCGCCAGATAGTATATTTGAGTGTCCTGTCACCCCTTGCTTATTAGTGAAACACTGATATGTTTGTGAACAAGGAGTCAACTCATTTCGTCCCTGTTGGTGGAATTACGCTGGACTACAATATGTGTAGAATACCTGCCACCTATTTATAATCAGGCGGTGAACAGATACTCTGTAGGGGGAAGATGGCGTTACGGTTACCAGTATGTCATACATCTACATTGCTTTACGGATGTACATGTAACGCCAGGCTCAGGTAGAAGTACGCCTCGCAGCTGACAAGTGTCGTGCGTTAACTGTGCGCTGATTCGACCAGGCATACTTTACAAAGTCGCTTTGTCGCTTATGTTAACAAATCTATTGTATGTGAATGCAGGTAAAGCGTTGGGGTCGAACTCAAGTGTTCCTAACGTTTTAGGGTAAGACGTTAGCCCGTATCCCCCCTTAAAACAATTACAGCTGGAAGAAACACGCCTAATGTAAATATGTATAACTTTTGGAGGGGGATACAGGCCGAAGTATTTCCTGCTTCGGTGTAACATATATACGACATAGCGTTGTGCTTCGAACGGGTTATAGCTAAAACGGCACCTCGTCACCAAATGGCACCGAGCGAAAACAGCAACCTTTTCGGTTTGTTTCTTTCTGTAGTAAAACTTACCTTTGAATTCTGGTTAGGGTTTTACGCCGTTTTAGCAATACACAAGGCAGAACACGGAGGACACAATGTCTTCCGGGAAGTGAGTTACTTCCCTTGCTAAACCGGATCACACGCCAGACAGTCTCTCAACGTCCGATGCATGTTTCGCGAGTAGGTCACCTTCCTTTCTCCAAATGTCCATCATCTTCAAAATATTATTTTTGACAAGGAACTGTTTAACATTGGATACTTTCGCTTTCTTATTTGTTTTATCTCGGATCGTGGACTCAGCTAGATGTTGACGACCAGAAGGAGCACACTATTACCACAGAAAGAGCGAAAGTGAACTTCTTCTAACCTTAATGGTTCATAGTTTTGCCTTTTCCGGTTGCATAAAACAACTGTTTTTATCAATGTACTGGGCCAAACCCAGTTGATTTAGATGTCGCTAAGTGACAGAAATAAAAATTACAGTGAATATAATTTCACCTTAGCCTGTTGCATGATGAAGTCTATGCATTCACGAAACATAGTCCCGCTAAGGGACATTATATAGTTTCGTTCTAATACACATTATCCCCCTAACAAATACTAATTATTGATAACCATAAGTAATAGCAAGGTATTTCATGCATATATAACTGGCCACCGAATAATGTTTTAGTGTTGTTACGGATAAGAACATATAATCATAACATGAAAATATCATATTCTGAAGACATTCATCCATCCATACATACATCCATCCTGCCATCCATCCCTCCCTCCCTCACTCCATCCATCCATCCTGTCAGTCAGTCAGTTCCAATGCCTGTTCGTTAGTTTCCTATAAAATATATACAGACATTGCCAGTTACACGGTGAAGGTCCGGGCTAGAATAGGTCTTCAACAACCCATGCTTGTCGAAAGAGGCGACTATCAGGATCGGGTGGTCAGGCTCACTGACTAGACTGATTCATGTCATCGTATCCAGACTGGGTGGATCGATGCTCATATCAATCATTCGATTGTCTGGTCCAGACTCGATTGATTACAAACCGCCGTCATGTAGCGGGAATATTGCTGAGTGCGGCGTTAAACAACAACCAAACTAACAAACTAAGACGACACTTACATTATGTTAACCCTTGGCTTTTCAGCACAATACATGTGACTTCACTAGAGATTTGTCTCCAACCAATGTACCCTTACCTGAAAATACTGTTCAGGCGATGTTGAACCCGATACACTGACTGTGAACATTTGCGGTCGCATCGTTGAAATGATGGCAAGAACAAGGTGGATAACTCTTTAGGGTCTACTGTCCGTGTAAGTGAGCGGAAACATTTCAGATGAGTTATTTCGGCGTTATGTAAGTACTGTACTGTAGCTAGTGATGGCTTAATGTTCAGTTGGGCAGCAGTGAGTGTACGTCCATGTTTTAACAGAAACCATTCGGTATACCTACTTGTTCACTGCACCAGTGCAGGAGTCGTGCCTCTCTTCAACTCCAGTGACGATTTTACCGCCCTTCTTTACATATCCATACGCCATACACTGTTGTGTGTGCATGCTTTATCTCATGCTTATAGTCACAATCAACTCGAGTCACGACAGCAAAATTGTAAAAGCATTTAAATTTCATAATTTCCGACACTGGTATGTACAAGGTGTGAACCTCATTATTGGTTCCCCACGCTGTTTGATTTTGAAAGACTCACCTTTTAATTTTCGGAGAGACGGGGAAAAAACGAAATCATGGTAGGATATGGTAAATACTATGTTATCGGTAGCGAGTATTGGGTCGTCGTGATAGGAGGTCGTCGGTTTAGGGGGTGAGATAGTAGCAGGTCGTCTATTTTTGTGGCGACGTAGTAAGAGAACGTCTGTTATTGGGGCGAGATGGCAGCAGATCGTCTGTGATTGTGACGACGTGGTAGTAGGTCGTCTGTGATTGTGACGACGTGGTAGTAGGTCGTCTGTTATTGGGGCGAGATGGCAGCAGATCGTCTGTGATTGTGACGACGTGGTAGTAGGTCGTCTGTTATGGGGGCGACGTGGTAGTAGGTCGTCTGTTATGGGGGCGACGTGGTAGTAGGTCGTCTGTGATTGTGACGACGTGGTAGGAGGTCGTCTGTGATTGTGACGACGTGGTAGTAGGTCGTCTGTGATTGTGACGACGTGGTAGGAGGTCGTCTGTTATTGGGACGACGTGGTAGTAGGTCGTCTGTTATGGGGACGACGTGGTAGTAGGTCGTCTGTTATGGGGGCGACGTGGTAGTAGGTCGTCTGTGATTGTGACGACGTGGTAGGAGGTCGTCTGTGATTGTGACGACGTGGTAGTAGGTCGTCTGTGATTGTGACGACGTGGTAGGAGGTCGTCTGTTATTGGGACGACGTGGTAGTAGGTCGTCTGTTATGGGGACGACGTGGTAGTAGGTCGTCTGTTATTGGGGCGACGTGGTAGGAGGTCGTCTGTGATTGTGACGACGTGGTAGTAGGTCGTCTGTTATGGGGGCGACGTGGTAGTAGGTCGTCTGTTATGGGGACGACGTGGTAGTAGGTCGTCTGTTATGGGGACGACGTGGTAGTAGGTCGTCTGTTATGGGGGCGACGTGGTAGTAGGTCGTCTGTTATTGGGACGACGTGGAAGGAGGTCGTCTGTGATTGTGACGACGTGGTAGGAGGTCGTCTGTTATTGTGACGACGTGGTAGTAGGTCGTCTGTTATGGGGGCGACGTGGTAGTAGGTCGTCTGTTATTGGGACGACGTGGAAGGAGATCGTCTGTTATTGGGACGACGTGGAAGGAGATCGTCTGGTATTGTGACGACGTGGTAGTAGGTCGTCTGTTATTGGGACGACGTGGTAGTAGGTCGTTTGTTATTGGGGCGACGTGGAAGGAGATCGTCTGGTATTGTGACAACGTGGTAGGAGGTCGTCTGTTATTGGGACGACGTGGTAGGAGGTCGTCTGTTATTGGGACGACGTGGAAGGAGATCGTCTGTTATTGGGACGACGTGGTAGTAGGTCGTCTGTTATTGTGGCGACGTGGTAGTAGGTCGTCTGTTATGGGGTCGACGTGGTTGGAGATCGTATGTTATTGTGACGACGTGGTAGGAGGTCGTCTGTTATTGGGACGACGCGGAAGGAGATCCTCTGTTATTTGGGCAACGTGGAGGGAGATCCTCTGGTATCGGGGCGACATGGTAGGTTTGGGGACGTGGTAGGAAATTGCCCGTTGTAGGGGAGATGTGGTAGGAGGTCGTCTGTTATTGGGACGACGTGGAAGGAGATCGTCTGTTATGGGGGCGACGTGGTAGTAGGTCGTCTGTTATGGGGGCGACGTGGTAGTAGGTCGTCTGTGATTGTGACGACGTGGTAGGAGGTCGTCTGTGATTGTGACGACGTGGTAGTAGGTCGTCTGTGATTGTGACGACGTGGTAGTAGGTCGTCTGTTATTGGGACGACGTGGTAGTAGGTCGTCTGTTATGGGGACGACGTGGTAGTAGGTCGTCTGTTATTGGGGCGACGTGGTAGGAGGTCGTCTGTGATTGTGACGACGTGGTAGTAGGTCGTCTGTTATGGGGACGACGTGGTAGTAGGTCGTCTGTTATGGGGACGACGTGGTAGTAGGTCGTCTGTTATGGGGACGACGTGGTAGTAGGTCGTCTGTTATGGGGGCGACGTGGTAGTAGGTCGTCTGTTATTGGGACGACGTGGAAGGAGGTCGTCTGTGATTGTGACGACGTGGTAGGAGGTCGTCTGTTATGGGGGCGACGTGGTAGTAGGTCGTCTGTTATGGGGGCGACGTGGTAGTAGGTCGTCTGTTATTGGGACGACGTGGAAGGAGATCGTCTGTTATTGGGACGACGTGGAAGGAGATCGTCTGTTATTGTGACGACGTGGTAGTAGGTCGTCTGTTATTGGGACGACGTGGTAGTAGGTCGTTTGTTATTGGGGCGACGTGGAAGGAGATCGTCTGGTATTGTGACAACGTGGTAGGAGGTCGTCTGTTATTGGGACGACGTGGTAGGAGGTCGTCTGTTATTGGGACGACGTGGAAGGAGATCGTCTGTTATTGGGACGACGTGGTAGTAGGTCGTCTGTTATTGTGGCGACGTGGTAGTAGGTCGTCTGTTATGGGGTCGACGTGGTTGGAGATCGTATGTTATTGTGGCGACGTGGTAGGAGGTCGTCTGTTATTGGGACGACGCGGAAGGAGATCCTCTGTTATTTGGGCAACGTGGAGGGAGATCCTCTGGTATCGGGGCGACATGGTAGGTTTGGGGACGTGGTAGGAAATTGCCCGTTGTAGGGGAGATGTGGTACGAGATCGTCTGTAATGGGAGCGACGTCCTTGGATATTAATTGTTATTGTGGTGACGTGGTAGGAGGTCGTCTGCTATTGAGGCGACGTGGTAGGAGGTCGTCTGTTTTTGAGGCGACGTGGTAGGAGGTCGTCTGTTATTGGGACGACGTGGTAGGAGGTCGTCTGTTATTGTGGTGACGTGGTAGGAGGTCGTCTGTTATTGAGGCGACGTGGTAGGAGGTCGTCTGTTATTGAGGCGACGCGGTAGGAGGTCGTCTGTTATTGAGGCGACGTGGTAGGAGGTCGTCTGCTATTGAGGCGACGTGGTAGGAGGTCGTCTGTTATTGTGGTGACGTGGTAGGAGGTCGTCTGTTATTGTGGCGACATGGTAGGAGGTCGTCTGTTATTGAGGGGAAATGGACGGAGATCGTCTCTTATTGAGGGTACATGGAAGGAGATTGTCTGTTATTTGGGCGAGATGGCAGCAGATCGTCTGTTATTGGGGCGACTTGGTAGGAGATCGTGTGTTAGTGGGGCGAGATGGCAGCAGATCGTCTGTTATCGGGGCGACTTAGTAGGAGATCGTGTGTTATTGGGGCGCGATGGCAGCAGATCATCTGTTATTGGGGTGACGTGGAAGGAGATCGTGTGTTATTGGGGCGAGATTGCTGCAGATTGTCTGTTATCGGGGCGACTTGGTAGGAGATCGTGTGTTATTGGGGCGCGATGGCAGCAGATCATCTGTTATTGGGGTGACGTGGAAGGAGATCGTGTGTTATTGGGGCAAGATGGCTGCAGATCATCTGTTATTGGGTTGACGTGGGGAAGATCCTATGGTATTTGAGTGGCGTTCCAGGAGATCGTCTGTGTTATAGGATATCGATTGTTATTGGGGCATGGTGGTAAGAGAACGTCAGTTGTGGGTGGTGAGATGGTAGCAGATCGTCTATTATTGTGGCGACGTCTTAGGATATCGTCTTTTATTGGAGGAACGTAGTTAGAGAACGTTCGTTATTGGGGCAAGATGACAGCAGATCGTCTGTTATTGTTGCGACGTGGTAGGAGATTGTCTGTTAGTGTGGTGACGTCATAGGCGATTGTCTGTTATTGAGCCAACATGGAAGGTCTTTTTTTTAATTATAATAGCGCCTTGCTAGGAGATCGGCTGTTACTAGAGCGACTCGGTCGAATGATGAGTGAGGGTGTTGTCAGGTATTGCTGTCCTAACAACCCTACTCACTCAGACAAGCACAGCAGATGATCACCTTGTTCCCTCCACGTTGCTTGGCTTGACGTCAACTAGGTGACAGATGATTGTGAAATGCAACACAAAATGGTCATGGTCTTTCCTGATCATCTCTTCCGCAGTTTGGTGGAGTATCAAGTAGGTGACTGCAGCACGGTGTGTAAAGTGTGCCACCATAAGTAGCAGTAATGCATGACATACTCAATGTCAGGAGTGCTGTAATAAGTGAACTCTAAGTAGCGACACGATAAGGAGCATTGGGGAGGTGGTATTATATATGCTTGTTAATTCCGTCTTTGTTGCTTATATTGTTTGAGTTTGAACAGATGTGACAAGTCGATTGGACTCCCTGTGAAACCCCATTTTCCAAGGGGATGAAAATACATGGTCCAGAAGATTCATTATATATGGGTGAATGAGTGAGTATGGTTTAGCGCGGTGTTTAGCAGTGTTAACACCAGAACTGGGAGTCCCAACGTTTATAATACGGTCTGATTTGGGCATCCTATTGTCTCGAAGGAATAAATTGATATATGTTTCAAGAGTCCATGTTACTTCGTATTTCATTTATCATTTCTAGTGAAATGTTCCGAATGTTAAATGAAGGTACATGGCAGTTTTGTGTTTTTGCAAAGTTGTACACGTTTCTGGACATTCACTTTTGTTATTTCAGTTATTATCGGCCTCAATGTGCCCGTAGTTACTGCACCGGAGCACACTGTCAGTATGCCCCCTCTTCCCAACCCCACTACGAGGACATTACACTTCAGATAATGGGGAAATGTGGGTTATGTTACTGAAAGACGAATATATACACTCCTGGTCATGGATTAGGTGGCGTCTTTTTATTTGCTTACTTTTTTATTACCCAAGACGCTTAGCGAACTTTAGAATGTGTCTGTGCCTCCTTATTCTGAATCTCATAACTCTTGATAGTTAACTTTTTTGCCTATGTACGGTTCACGTCAGCTATCAAACATTATAGATCATAGGTGCGTTCAGCCTGTGCCTTGAAAGAAAACATTTAGCAAGACTAATTTGCTGCTTTGGTGTATTGGGCACAAAGGGCACTGGAATTGCGACTTCATTATGTCGTTGTACAGTTTTAGCCAAAAGGTCCAGACCTCCGATAATGGACCGATAATGACAGGGTACAATATACACGTTACAGTCGCGAGCGTTTTAAACTTTTGTTGTGAGCAGATATTTAAGAAGCATGATATGTATATATTTGTCTTCAAAAGTATAGTATACAGTATATTGACTTTGGTTCCAAGGGAGCCAAATCCTGCATACAATTTCGCTGAACAAGTTTTCACGATCATAATTGCTGACAAAATGAAGTCTCAATGATAGCAGCTTAACCATGAGATTCGGGAACAAGTAAATTGCTTTACGGTAAGGTTCAGTGTGAATTCTCTGGAAGCCATAAACATAAACCGTGTTCTCTAAAATATGTAGTTATTTTACGGGAAGTCTTGTAAATGTCTGGCAGTGAATGCCACGATAGGGGTATTCCTCTGATCACAAAGAGCGTTTTCTCATAAGAGCATCATCCATCTTGATAGAATGAACGACAGTCGGTAAGAAGACGGGAACCTCATGATGCTCTGCCAAAGTGGGGAGTAAAGCATCATTCTGAAAATGCCTATTCATGTACGTGCATTAAAGTCACAGACAGCATCATTTCTGAGTTATGGGTTGGCTGGGCCACAGAATTGTTCTTACACTCCCTGCTTAAGTGTGCTTCATCACGCTCAATATCATTTATCTTCAATGGGTAACCGTAGCAGCCTACCCATAAAGGGTTTTACTTTGCTGAACCCACCACGGCTGATAATGAATAACACTTGTTTCTATACAAGCCTGTGTTTGATTACGTAAAGAAATGTTCTGCAAAAGAAACTATTTCAATCGTGGGTTGCAATCTCACGTGTGTGTCCTGCCGCCTCACAAAAAGACACTTCTGTTGATAGGGTTAGACTGCACCATCCATTCACGTCTACTCGAGCATCTCCCTTGAAAGGGTGTTACTAAGTATACTACAGAAGTGGTACTACTCATATAAAAACTAACATTATATCTTAGGTACTTCTGTTTTGACGTTATACTACGCAGTAGTTTACCTCTACAGTCATAAACCAATTTGAGATCTATTTATTTAATGTGTTTTCCGACCAGCATTTCCGTTGGGCATAGGTGGCATGACTAACAAAGCTATAATTACCATTCACCTGTTCACGTTCAAATCATTAAAAATAATGTACAGGATATTCATACCTAAGAATATACATTATGTATATGGAAATATGAAATTTAAGTCCCCGTGTTTTTGCTGATGACATATTTCTCAAATTATTGCAAAGAATAAGGCAAAGACATCAAAACAATGTGGAAAATCTTTATGGTGATATAAACTATCAAGGCAAAACAATAAACAACAAACATGTAGGAAATAAAAGAGATCGTGCATACGTCAACGTACAATCTCGGAATAAGGCTTCTGGAATCTGTACAGGACACACCCGGAAGTCGCATACAACACAACACATCCGGAAGTCGCTTACCACACAACACATCCGAACATATATCATATACATCCGGTAAACGCCAATGCCGTTTGGGAAATTTCCTTGAAATTTCCTCCGAAGCCAAGATATTGAAATTAGACACATTTCTGTACATGATCTTTCAAATGTATGCATACCGTTGTGTTCGTCTGTTGTGCTGTAATCATTCACTTCACGACCACATACACCGGTCTCTGTGGTCATGGCAGTTTTGCGTGTAACGTAATGGTAAGATAGTGGACAATCCTCCATCAAAGTGAGAAAAGAATAATTTATTTTTCCACTGTCGTTACGTGTTTGCATAGTAGGACAAGCTTACTCCATCCAGGCACAAGATGTCTGCACCTAGCAGACGGTTGAAAGTCTGGCAGGATACCATTGTGATACTTGGCTTTGGGCCGCTGCCTCGCTCTCGCCTCTCGATGGAGTAACGGAGAGGCGTGCGGTACTAAGGAAATTGGCCTCTGCCTCAACACCTGTCATCAGATCAAATCACGAAATATCACCTTGAACTATCTTACTCAAGGTCATTTATCTTTGTCAATAGGTTCACATTATAAGGAAATTTTGTACATTGATCGGTGTTACAAGGATTGGTTGAATATACAAAATGGCACATTTATGGATAATAAATTATTCTCTTTTTACGTTTTACAACTAGCTATATATACATGCGTTTTGGAAGGTATTGGCGTCATATTTTACATTTGTGAATTCGAAAAATACCGTTGTTCGAAGTACCATTTCTTAAACAATGGTACTATTGAAGCTGGTATCAGGAATATGTATATATATACATAATTGTCGAAAATAGCATCGTGTTCAGAATAGTACCATATGTCAAAACACTTTGCATTAAAATCATGGTCATGTGATCTGTAGGTATTTCTTAAAATAATGTAATATGTGCTGCTGTATAATGTGTAAATCCATCAAAATTGATATCCATCACAAACCAATCATCACATTTACTCATAGGTTATATAACTTCATAGCTTCATACAGATGATTCCGGTTTATCAATAATACCCATTTTCATGCCCAACCATCTACACTTGGCCTTTACGTCCTCTTGTACCAGATTAAAGCACATAGCAATGAGAGACAAGCCAAACACCAGGTACATTGCACACAGTACCAACTTCTCCTCCTGGGCCCATGTATCCGTTCCGGGGACAATGTCTCCGAAGCCAATCGTACTCAATGTGATGAAACAGAAGTACGACCCTGTCAGGTAATCCCATTTCTCCCACAATGCGAAAAGAAGAGCTCCAGCGAAGATATACCCTGCTATAAGAAGTATGCACAGAGACGTGGGTACATGAATGACCTCTTTAGGCTTGTCCTCTTCTTCTTCTTCAGAGGCCATGACCTGGTGAGCTAGGCCCTTCTCCAAGTCAGGTATTCGACGTCTTCGGCGACGTTGAAACAATTTGCAACACACACCACAACAAATCTTTCCGTACAGTAATCGAAATCCCGTCGCCATGACGTCACCAATATTCGTTAAACACAACAACGTCAACGGTATACCCAACACAGCATATCCAATTGTAACAATCCGTCCGGTGTCAGTTTTTGGAGCCACGTGACCGTAACCTAAACAGAAAGCATACAATTAAAATGCAGGTAAATAAGGATGGAGATTATAATTATTATAACAAAAGGACCGTAAAGTTCTGTTCTCGAGAGGGACGATGACGAAACCATAGCTCGCGGTTCAAGCCTACAGTCGTTGCGCCAACGATGCGTATTCAATTCCCCACATTGGTACAACTTGTGAATCCTATTCTTGCCTCCCCCGCCGTGATATTTCTAGAATTTTACAAAACGCGGAGTAAAAGCATTCTCCATCACTCATTCTTACCAGACAGGGGAATAAATCTAAACTGGTTAAGATTAAACCATTTTAATATGGATTCAAAGAATTAAAATGAATTTGTATTTGGTTAGAGTGACAATTGATTAATACGATGCGTTAAGCAACCCTGTTTCAAGTCCAAGACATTTATTATATTTCAGGTATCCGACCTACATAAGCATTATATGAATACACACGTTTTCTTCACGTTATAAATTATATAGCACTCACTTCTAAGAAAAATAGCATGTTTTACATGGAGTCAGTTTTAATCATTTATAATAACGGAGTCGTCGTTTGAAGAGAAAGATATATGCAAGCAGACATGCTTTGACAGATAACTTAGTTGTTAGGGGTACGAGTGGCCCAGTAGTCTAAGGCGCCGCAATTCGCCGTGCAGAGTTGCGTCGCTAGGCACGCGAGAAACCTATGACTGTGGGTTCGAATCTCGGTTCGCCTTGATTATGTTTCTAGGTTTGACAGCACCATACCCGTTCTCGTGTGTTTCACCGAAGTGGTAATCGGCTGAGACCTGCATCATTTCGGGTTTTCCTCTCACATTTAGCTGACGCGCCGTGATGTAAGTTGAATACAGTTCAAAGCGACGTTAAACACAGCCCACATGCTTAGTTAAATGACTTAGATACATGAAAGATGAAAAATGTAAGGGCGTAGCCTCTTTGTGTTATCAACGGACATCTGTCGTAATCTTCATATTCAAAATCGAACAAATGAATGCCTCTATTTTTATAATGTTACTATTGTTATGTTCTGGTTGAATTTGGCTCCTAAAAGTTATGTACGAGTCATATGTATACGGTATTGTGACAGATATGACAAGACGTAGCTGCAATCACCTCCTCTTAATCGAACTACTATATATAATAAGTGATTATAGTTTTCAGGCGTCGTCAGCAATATTGCAGCCGTATCACAGCGATATATAAAATGCCTTGATAAATCAAACCCGAAATTGACAGCATAATATAAGCAGCGACCAAGCCAAAGAATTACCATGACACACAATGAGTCAAGTTCAGAAAAAATATTGTTTCGGACGTTCTCAGGGAGAAAAAATTAATAATCCATTGGGAATGTGGGACGGTGGTTTATTTATTAACGCAAAGTGAACCATTCAGAAGTTTCCAGCAAGGAGTTTTTCAATTATAAAGAATGCAAAATGTTTAACACAAACACACAGTGTTGGAGTGTCAACGGCTTGGATAGATGCTGTATAGTTGTATATCAAATGCGCTCCTCCCGACGCCATACATCTTACACCCTTCTCTCATCGCCATACATCTTACGCCCAACTCACAACGCCATACACCCTTCGTCCTATTCCCGACGCCATACATCTTACGCCCTACTCCCAACGCCATACACCCGTCGTCATATTCCCGACGCCATATACATCTTACACCCTACTCCCATCGCCATACATCTTACGCCCTACTCACAACGCTATACACCCTTTGTCCTATTCCCGACGCCATACATCTTACGCCCTACTCCAAATGCCATACACCCGTCGTCATATTCCCGACGCCATATACATCTTACACCCTACTCCCATCGCCATACATCTTACGCCCTACCCACAACGCTATACAACCTTTGTCCTATTCCCGACGCCATACATCTTACGCCCTACTCCCAACGCCATACACCCGTCGTCATATTCCCGACGCCATATACATCTTACACCCTACTCCCATCGCCATACATCTTACGCCCTACTCACAACGCTATACACCCTTTGTCCTATTCCCGACGCCATACATCTTACGCCCTACTCCAAACGCCATACACCCGTTGTCATATTCCCGACGCCATTTACATCTTACACCCTACTCCCATCGCCATACATCTTACGCCCTACTCACAACGCTATACACCCTTCGTCCTATTCCCGACGCCATACATCTTACGCCCTACTCCCATCACCATACACCCTTCGTCTTATTCCCGACGCCGTACATCTTACTTCCTACTCCCATCGCCATACACCCGTCGTCATATTCCCGACGCCATACATCTTACGCCCTACTACCAACGCCATACGCCCTTCGTCCTATTCCCGACGCCGTACATCTTACACCCTACTCCCATCGCCATACATCTTACGCCCTACTCCTGTTCCCGACGCCAAACATCTTACGCCCTTTTCTCAACGCCATAGACCCTTCGTCCTATTCCCGACGCCGTACATCTTACGCCCTACTACCATCGCCATACACCCTTCGTCCTGTTCCCGACGCCATACATCTTACGCCCTTTTCTCAACGCCATAGACCCTTCGTCCTATTCCCGACGCCGTACATCTTACACCCTACTACCATCGCCATACACCCTTCGTCTTATTCCCGACGCCATACATCTTACACCCTACTCCCATCGCCATACATCTTACGCCCTACTCACAACGCCATACACCCTTCGTCCTATTCCCGACGCCATACATCTAATACCCTACTCCCATCGCCATACATCTTACGCACTACTCCCATCGCAATACATCTTATGCCCTACACCCGACGATCTACACTTAACACCCTCCGGCATACTCCCTCCGCTCTACATCCGACGCCCTCTTCAATACACCCTTCATTCCATAGCATAACCCTATTCCAAGTGGGAAATATCAAGGCCTATACGCTGGTATTTCAACTCCAACAACCTGTTCAGATTCCTTCCCTGAGCTACAACACAAGTCGGGGACCTTTTTCCGTGAAAACAACACACTAAGTTGTTTACACGGGTTGACGTCACAACAACTAAACATAGCAACATTGAAAACATCTACACTCTATCGTGAAGGTCTAACAAGCTACAAAATCAAAGCCCGCATCTAAAATAAATTTGGCTAGGAGACACAAACCGTGTTATCTATCCGCATACTTACAAACATCTACAGTAAGTCCCTGCCTGCGTTTATCAAAGGGGAACCGTGAAAGGCTATATACTTACATTATAGCAGGGTGATTATGTTTGTTTTGGCCCATGGTATTTGTTTCTTTAAATTACATGTCACAAAACACCGTTTCAACCCACTGGCAATTTGGCGTTTAGCTTTACTGGAAATGATGAGGCTGGCTTTGGGGTAAATAGTCCACGTGTCCTGTTCAGCTTACAATTACTGGGAGACATAGCTGCCTTTCTGCCCCACACATTAAGACATGGAGAGCAGGAAATGAAAGCTGTCAATTTCTAAGATGAGTACTTTCATGGCCTATTTCGAGTTTTGCTGACGCATCACTTCACCACTGATGATGAGGAGAATACTTTACATGTTTCACATTACATTAACGTCCATGTGTTACATGTATTTCTGATACTGTTACAATTAGATTCCCAGGACCTCGTGTTGTTAGAAGTAACTGAAAGGGGAACCGATAGATCCGGTCGTATGTCGTAATAATGTAACCTCACACATGAAATCTCCCAATTGCGTGGATCGCTGTTCATGATGTCAATCACTGGATTGTCTTGTCCAGACTTGATTTTTTACCAGCCCGCCGTCATATAGCTGGAATATTGCTGAGTGCGGCGTTAAACAACAAACAAACAAACAAATCACACATGAAATCACGTCCTGAGATTAATGGCAACCATCAGGTGATCATCCCAGAAACATAGAAGGCTCTATTTCCTAGTCAGGTAAGAAGGCTGTATGTCCCCACCTGATATACCTCCATCATACAAGGCACTTGACGCATGTAACACCTTCCCGTGAATTAATATTAGTATGACAATTTCAGTTTATATTATTTAATATTTGTTTAATAACTAAGTTAATAGTCACACACACACATCCTCCAAAACTGTATCTATCAAATCCCATGCTATTTCTGTTTAATGGGGGTATGTGGCAATGTGCTGTTCATGATAGAAAACAGTATCAAGTATCAGCTGGTTTTTGGCACCTAAAACGTTCAGAATATAATGGTCCATCTTTGCATTAACGCATACAAGACAAGGTAAATAATATTGCTAGGATGGGGTTATTACATTATTGCATGTATATACTATCAGTAGGGATATTGTGCTGTTGATGTTTGTATGAGACCACAAAATGGATTGGTTGGTCAGGATCGCGGACGTATCGTGACATCATACACCTTGATTTGTCTGGTTCAGACGCCATTATTTACGGGCCGCCGTCATTGTTGAGTGCGGCGTTAAATCCAAAAACAAATTTAAGAAAAACAAAACATAAACGCATGTAGGCCTCAAAGAGCAGTTTTTCCAACATTAGCATCACAGAGGCAATTCAACAAAACATGCCCTAAAGTGTTATCTTGATAGTATTTTACTTTGCAGAAGTTGATCCTGCAAAAATCACCACTTACCACCTGACATCGATTACACTCCTCATCCCAAGAGAAGATCGCAACTACATGGCATCAAAGCACCAATTCCAAAATAGATAATTAATAGATAGATTTTGTTTTTATCTATGATGATGGGAACCCTGATTTATTTCTTACAGCGGATGATAAAGGTTGTTACATTAGAGCTAGGTGTCTTTCATCGCCATCTTCAAACATCTCACCTTGTTGCTTTTATTTGTTTGGCCCGTTGTCAAATAAACTATACATAAACCGTTATTGAAGCTTCTCCCGCTGAAACATCCACCGACACAGTTATCAAGAACTTTGATTACAGGGAAGAGGAAAATCCTTTGACTTTGTGATCAGGTAGGCTCCCAGTGTTTGTTTACTTACACACTCATTGT